CGTTAAAATACTCTCCTACAGGTAAATCGTACATAAGCAAAAATACTCATGTATTAGCAACAAGATGTAGTAAAAGTTTTAAAGTAAAAGTACTGCTTCAGTCCCTCTGTCTGATATTTTATGACATCTGCTTTCATGATACCAGTAACAGAGTAGTATCAGTGTATCAGCTGCATGTTGCTGCTGCAGCTGCTGCAGGTTTCAACTACTTTATGTCCAGTTTTATACACAGGAACAGAACCAATCATACTGATTATTGTGTGTCATAAGCATAAGTGTACATTGGCTATTCCTTATCTTTAAAGTAACTAAAGCAGTCAGATGAATGTATGTAAGTGTTATTTGACTGTACTGATTATTGTGTGTGTCCTACAGGTGTGCAGAGTGTCCAACAGATAGCATGGCTGCCCTGTCAGTTCATTGATGAACATGTGTCTCTTAACAATGAGAGTCACGTTGACACTCAGCTCATCCACCGAGAGGCCGTGCTGCAGTTTGGTCAGACAGGAGACTCTGCTGTTAATCCACGAGCCGTCACCTTCCTGGTCACAGGTAAGTTACTGCAGCCTGCACGCAGAGGAGACTGACAACTGTTGTCTTCATTCGTATTTTACTCTGTTGTAGGATCTAAGCTGGACCTGCGGCGGTACATGGAGGGGGTGGAGGCAGAACAGTTGAAGTGTGAGATGCGTAGGTACAGTACAGAAGGAATCCATGTCCGCTGGCCTGTCCAGGGGGCTCAGGGCTACAACCGCTGGTTCAGCTGCACCCTCAGACACATTAAAGGCCTTTTTACCGTCACCGGCTTCCTCAGACACCCATCTGACCAACCTGCACCAGGACAGCATGACTACCTCCACTGGCCTGCNCTTGTAAAATGAAAGTGAAAGTGTCCCGAGTGAGTCAGTGTGCTGCTCGAGCAACAAGGAGAACCAAGGCTCAGATCACTAATGAATAATCATGGATTTAATCTCAAAGATACTCATTTACCTCTGTCTATGTGCAGGTAAGTTATTATCCAAAGCGATGTTATTGATTGTGATGTTTTTGGAGCGTCGTCAGCAAATAGAAACTCAGAGATACTGTCAGTGGTGAAAGAAGTACTCAGATCCTTTACTGAAGTAAAAGTACCAACACAGCAACGTTAAAATACTCTACTACAGGTAAATCGTACATCAGCAAAAGCAGTCATGTATTAGCAGCAAAATGTAGTTAAAGTTGTAAAGTAGAAGTACTGCTTCAGTCCCTCTGACTGACATTTTGTGACATCTGCTTTCATGATACCAGTAACAGAGTAACATCAGTGTATCAGCTGCATGTTACTGCTGCAGCTGCTGCAGGTTTCAACTACTTTATGTCCAGTTTTATACACAGGAACCGAAGGCAAATATGAGGGCTCAAAAATAAATCATGCAACAGCAGGGAAGAGAAAACAAAGTCGTCAAACAGAATTCTGTTTTCAGTTTGTACATGTTCGACCTAATCTTTGATTTTTTGTGAGATATTGGGTCACGGTAAAATCTTGTACGTGTGAAATTTGCTGAAACTCTTAACAACTTCGACGTGTGGCCTCGACTACAAATTGTGGTTTATATTAAGTCTAAAAGGTTTGAAACCACAGACTTAATCCATAAAAATGTGTTATATTAGAGCTGCAATGACAAGTCAAATGATGGATTAATTGTCAACTAATTACGGAAGCCGAGTGCGGTCATGGCCGCACATTTTTTTAAACGGCGTTTGTTTTCTCGAGATAACGAGACAATTATCCCGTTGACAGTTTGGGCTGTCACTTCAGCCTTCATCAGAAGTTGTCGGACTTCCTGGTGTGACCTATCTTATGTAGACAGCTGACCGGGAACTCCGACATGACGTGTCATGAGAACAGCTGACCGGGAACTCCGACATGACGTGTCATGAGAACAGCTGACCGGGCACGACAACTTAGAATGAAGCGCTCGTGCCCGGTCTCGTCTGTCCTCCGGCCCCCCGCTGGTGATGGGCACGAGCGGGCAAACACAAACACCAATTATCTCGTTTTCACGAGAAAACGATTCTAGTTATCCCGAGAAAACGAGATAAATTAACTCGTTTTCTCGAGAAAACGGCGAAGAAAGAACAGTAGCGGAAAACGACCGCTCTCGGCTTCCGTAACTAATAAATTAATCACTTACTGTTTTTAAAATCCACAAACCAGTTTAAATAATTCAAACAAGAAGTCTCTATTCTCTGGTTGCAGCTCCTAAATGTGAATATTTTCTGGTTTCTTTCCTCATCTATGACAGTTACCTGAATATCTTTGGCTTATGGACAAAACAAGACATTCGAGAACATCGTCCCAAGCCTCAGGAAACACTGATCTACATTTGTTTTTGGAATGTTCTGACATTTGATAGACCAAACAACTTATAAATAATTCAAGAAAATGACTGACAATAGAAATGATTTCCGGTTGCAGCTCTGCTTCATGTACAGCTGTATGCTCCGTGCAGGAACAGCAGATAGAGCTGAGGGGTTTTCAGAAAATGAAAGTGAGAGGAAAGAAGAAAAACCAAAGTTCTGATCCACAAGTCTGTTCTGAGTTATTATAATTTTTCTCTAATCTTAACGGCTCCACTCAATAAATGTTCAGATGAGAAATATTAAACCAGATGTTTCCATATTTGGCAGGTTCTTCAATATTTAACAATATTTTGTATTTTAAAAGCTTGTCATATTATCTGTTGTGTAAAATCTTCATCTTCAAACTAAATATTGTAATTACGCTATCAGATGAATGTAATGGAGACGGTAAAATATTTCCCTCTGTTACGTAGTGGACTGTCAATGTATAGTCCAGCAAAGCACAAGTACTGCACTTGGAAGAACCTACTTAGCGCCTTTCCATCACTGATAACTACTATACTATTTACTGCTCCAAACATGAGACAATCACACTGATTATTGTGTGTCATAAGCATAAGTGTACATTGGCTATTCCTTATCTTAAAAGTAACTAAAGCAGTCAGATGAATGTATGTAAGTGTTATTTGACTGTACTGATTATTGTGTGTGTCCTACAGGTGTGCAGAGTATCCAACAGATAGCATGGCTGCCCTGTCATTTCAGTGACGAACTTGTGTTTCTAAACAATTTGAGTCACGTTGACACTCAGCTCATCCACCGAGAGGCCGTGCTGCAGTTTGGTCACACAGGAGACTCTGCTGTTAATCCACGACCCGTCACCTTCCTGGTCACAGGTGAGTTACTGCAGCCTGCAGGCAGAGGAGACTGACAACTGTTGTCTTCATTTGTATTTTACTCTGTTGTAGGATCTAAGCTGGACCTGCGGCGGTACATGGAGGG